GCAGTTCATGGTGGTTTGGCGGTGTGCTGTGTTGGGGAAACGGAGCACTGAAGTAGTTGGCAGTACTGAGTGGGTGAAACACAAAAACCTCTGCTGTACCGCAGTTGTAACCAGAGTTGCTTATCTGCACATGTTAGGTGGATGCTGTGTTCCATACTTAAATGCGGTGGCCCAGCAGGTCAAATAAAGTGTGCTTAGCCGCAGCAGACTGCTAGGCCATGCTGGAGAAAGTGCATAAGCAGAGAGCAGTGTGTAGTTCAGCTTCCTCTGTGCATGTATGTCTCGCAGTTCCGGACATGGTCATTGTTTCTATGGTCAGTGGCCTTGTCTGGAATTGTGTTGGTCCTCCTCTGTAAATTTGCCCAGCCGTTTTTTGAATCACTGTAAACTCACAGCTTCCTAAAAAACTCTCTACATGGAACTGATTTCTCAGTTTTACTGTGTGTTTTGTTTCTTTTGTTATTTTTAATTTGTCACCAGCTAGTATCATCTGATGCCATCTTGCTTCTGTGCTGAAAGAGGTAGTTAGCAACTGTCGCCTGTGCACATTCCCAGAGCCAGTCGAGGTACTCTATAGTTGAGTCAGGTCACTAACTTCCATGCAGAAAAGTCCTAGTTTATGTACTTGTTTCTCAGTTGGACGTTAATGAGGGTCCGATTTTTTTGGCCCTTTCTTTTCTACCTGCAGGTGGGTTAAATTCCAGGGCTAGGGCCAGGAGCTGCTTTCTTTGCTTCAGTTACAGGTGTGGTGTTCAGGTGTTGCTTTGAAAGCCACCGTTAAAGAATATTGCATAAGCTCTGGAGGTAGAAGGCTAATATGTTGTGCATTGATGCATCACCTGAAATCAGTAGTGCATTACAATTGATGGTCGTATTGTAATTTAGTCATTTGTTCCTGTTGACAGGGTGGTGATTAAGCAGTGCTGTAAATCAGAGCTAAAATGAAAGAAACAAAAGGGCATAGAGGAACTATTGTTAGAGTTTCTATTACTATTACATGTTCAGTCATCCAAATACTAATAATGTGATTATTTCTTTTCTAAATTATATACTTACAAATGGCTTTCCTCACGTGCTTGTACATACCCAGTAATTCTTGTCCCTTGTTGACATACAGAGTGTTTCAGAAGGCAGTGTCTGAAGCTTTCTGGTCCTCAACAATAAGAGAAAATTATTGCTCTGTGAAAAATATTTGCTGTCCTATGTGGGATACTTAATGCTGTCTTGAGAAGTGAATACACAGAAAACTAAATGGGTCTTCTAAATATGCTGACAAATACTAATTCCTTTTGAGACTGTGGAATTACTTAATAGCTGTGCAATATTTAGAAATTCTACTTGGGAGTTAGTACTGTTTTGCTACATCTAGTGCTGATGTGTAAGGAAAACTAATGCCTGAAAAGTGCTTTCCTAGATTTACTGGGGTAAGTATGTAGCATATGCAATTGCAAAAATATTTAGGAAAACACATGTTTTATGATAATTTAGACTTTTGATTGAAGTAGCAGAGACACTCACTAGTTCTCTGTGGAAGAGTCATTTGTATTCCTTGATGCTGGGTGAGGGAGTGCTAGAAGCGTTCAGGAGTCTGCAGGCTGACACCACAAAATTAAATTTAAAGAGGAAAACAAGAACTTCAAAGCAGTTAGTGCCTGAACAGTAGGCCTTTTGTGTTTTGGCTACACCTGTTTGTATGGGAGAATAAAAATGCAGGTTTGGTTGTTGTTTTCATGGGATCACAGAATGGTTTGGGTTGGAAGGCACCTTAAAGATCATCTAGTTCCAATCCCCTGCGATAGGAAGGTCACCTCACATTTGACCAGGTTGTAAATCTCTCTCCAGACTTCTTTTAGGCCACCTTTAGGTACTGGAAGATCAAGATCTGTCTGGAGCCTTATTTTCTCCAGGCTGAAATTTTAAAAGCAGACCCCTAGAGCAGCAGAGTATGTTTTTCACTGGCACAGGAGTGTACTGCACTGAAGCTGACTGTTTTAATATGCCCAGAAGTCTAAGAATTACTTTTTGTATATTTTTAGTTTAAAATTTGGAGAGCTTCAGTCTTATTTCTATACAAATAGGTTTGATTGTGTGTCTGGGTGTGCGTGCATCTGGAGCAGGGAGTAATTCACTATGCATTTTTAGGGAGAGGTGGATTCTGTTTAGACTTAAAGAAGACAAAAGGTTAAACAAAATGAAAGTTACATAAGACCTCTGTGTTTAATTTTTGGGGTTTTTATTTTTTTTTGCTTTTGATTTTTGAAAGTTGCAACTCTGAGTAGGAAAGTGCTGGTGTTTACAAACAGTTCTAAGGAGCATAGAAGTCCAGGAAAAATGCTTTATAGCTGTGGTTTGTTTGCTTGGACAGTTTGAAATGAGTAGTGAATAAAGGATGGCTGTTAACAGAGGAAATGTGTGCAGGAGGATTATGCACACAGGCAGATGATGGCAGTTAGAATTTAAAGAAAACAAGAATCCTGAATGGTTATTCAGAATACCATTGTCAGGTAAAAGGCAAAAGTCAAGAGCAAAAAACCCTGTGAGTTTTGGTAAGGAGAAAAATGGAGCGAGTGGAAGCAGATGAAGTTTTTCACCTCTTTATTCATTCAGCTGTATTCATACAGGTAGTGAGCATCACAAGACATCAGTGCTTTAGCGGCCACATCAAAGACATGTAAATGCTATACAGTAGACATGAACATGACATGTTCATGTTTAGGGTCTGCATGTTGAATTAAGACTGTTGCAAAATCGATTATACATTGGATAAAGTTGTTTCTTTTTTCCTCCTCTCTTATTTTAGAATTTATCACATAGAAGAAATGATTGAGTCAGTCAAAGTAAGAAGACAGTGCATGCTGGATTTCTACTCGCATTATGAACATCTTTGCGCTCTTCAAGGCTCTGTCCCACTGAAAGCTGTGAAGGCTAACCTGAGTCGAGGTGCTCTTGATCTGACTGTAGATCGCATCAAAGCTGCTGATTGGACACCACTTCTGAATGCTATCAGGCATAATAAGACTCTGACTTCTATTGGAATAAGAACTTTTCATCAACAGGGTCTTGAAGAATCAGGTTTGTATTGATAACTATCAAAGATAAATATGTTGATGTAGAATGTTAGAATTTGCTGCATGAAACTTTTCTGTGATTTGGATATGAGGTAGAAAAATTTATTATATGTAAGGAAGTGTTTTTGTTCCAGAAAAGTATCAAAAAAGCAAGGCGTGATTATGGTTGCTTTTAAGACAGTAGGGACTGGATTTTACTGATGTGTAATTTTTGTTGTTTACTAGGTGTTGAAAGATACAAAACTTACTTTAGAAGGAGAATTCCAGCAATTCGATCAAAAGACTTGACTGGCCAACTATGCAAAGCTGTCAAATGCTGTCTCAGTATATCAGATGTACTAAAAAATTTAGAACTGCAGGGTTTGCTTCTGAGGGAGAGAGATCTAATACTTTTAACAAAGGTGAGACTATGTTACTATACAAATAAATGGAAAACTTGATTAGAACATAGAGAAGTAGGAACTTACATTTTGTAAATACTTGTCACGGATGAGCTTGTTCCTCTTCTAGGGTATCTTTGTGTTACCGTTTATATGAATGATTCTGCTGAGGTATTTTGATAAACTAGTCTTGCTGAACCTGTATAAATCACGTAACATTCCATTGCCCTGATTAGTCAAGGCTTATTAAAACGTTCTTAGCAATACCTTTGCCATGTGTCTCGGGCATGTAGCTTACACTTGTGACTGAAACTACTGTGCATGTACATGACAGAAGGAAAGCTGAGGGACACCAAAGAGATAAAAGCAGGTCTTTAGGACGTGTTACTGGAACACAAGTAGCTTCTAGGAAAGGAGGTTGCTGCTGTTTCCCATAGGCTATGGCTCCTCCAGTGCTAAAGAAACAAACCAGCTTAAACCAAGCTTTAAGGTTCACTCATTTTGACCTTCCTCTGAACCCCCTATTGTTTCTTGTAGAGAGCACAAAGTGTTCTGAGCAGTTTGGGTGACTCAGTCTGTTCTCTGTAGTTTTGCTTTTCAAGCCAGTTAACAAATACTGTTTTTATTGTGAAGGGTTTGGCCACAGCATCATCTCTGGAGAGTGTCTCTTTTGCCCACTGTCCGATTGGAGATGAAGGATTAGAAAGTAAGTTCAGCATCTAAAACCTTAAATATACTCCTCTCTTTTTTTAGTTCTTCAAATAGGTAAGTTTTTCAGTGTTTCCATTCTGTTTTAAATTGGTCAATAGTGATTAAAATAACAATCTTCACATTGTTCAACATGATTTAACAACATTTAAAGATTTGAATTTCTTTATACTAGAAAATAGCTATAGTACTTTACAATGGTGTTTATACTTCTATTTAAAACAACAGTCATAATGCTTGTTTGATGTTAGCTTTTTATTATTCACGTTTACATAAGTGAATAAAATACGTTCTAGTTTGTTCATATAGTCTTTGCTAAACACTTGCACTAGAAATATGTAATCTTAGAACACTTTAAATGTACTTAAAATGTACTTTTTATTTCAACACTAGTTTTTTGTAAAGGCTTTTTACTTTTAAAGCTGATTCAGCTTCTTAATATGGCAGTGAAAAAGTGCATTCTGATAATCCAGCTGTAGCGCATGTAGATAACATGCATGTTTTTGTTTCCTTCAGCAATCTGTCAGAGTGTAAAGAATTCAGCTAATATCAGATATGTAAACTTCACAGGATGTAGCCTCACATGGCGAGGGGCAGAACATATAGCAAATATATTGAAGGTAATTTAATAACCTTTCTTAGAACCAAATTTTCACAAGAACTTAAATACATTTGATTTTTATTTTAATTTTTCAAGCTATAAATCTATCAAAGCACTTTGTAGGCAGTCTGTATGCAAATTATTATTATGCAAATACTGAAGTATGTGAATAGTCCTGAAATTTGTGACTTTGTATTTCAAAAGTAGCTTAGTTTACTGGTGTGGGATTTAAATGTGATATTTCTTAGTAAACATCAGGTGAACAAGAGTTCAGACTGATGTATTTTTTTCGTAAATGAGGATAAGGGCTATAAATATGTGACACCTGTTCAGGGAGTGCTTCTTTAACCGTCACGTATTTTGAAAATGTCTTCAGCATTGGGTAAGAATTACTGAGTTTACAGTTTGGAGGTTACTAATTAACTCATTAGTAAACCTGTGACTAGCAGATTATTCTAATTAATGTTAGCAGTGGTTTACATGAAAGCACGTAATTTCCTAGAGCATATTCAAAGATGCCTTGAAAGTGGCTGTCTGCCAAAAAGAAGGTAATATGATGTTTTGTAGCCATGTTTACTAATTTGCATTGCAAATTGGATGATCAGAATACATATGACTTCAATGTTTAAAAATTACTTGTATTTCTTGAACTCAGAAATGGTGTATCTGTGATTCTTTTATCAGCATTCAAATGGTGATACATTACTTACACATAAGGTAACTTGTGATCATGTCATCAATAATGGCTTTGCCTTTGCACTTGGTAACAGCTTCTTTGTTTGCAAAGCACCAGGCAATGAAAAGACATGGAGAAGCTTGGGCTGAAAGCCTGCGGTACAGGAGACCTGACCTGGACTATATGACCGGCTTGAGGCGTGTTACTTTCAACTGCAACGTGCTTGTTGGAGACAGAGGAGCAAGTGCCTTTGCAGATTGTCTAGGAGAAGACCTTTGGCTAAAAGGTATTGTAAAATACTGACTCTTGAGATGCAGTACTGGCAGGCAGAAGGCTTAAAATTTTCAACTACAGCAAATGTAGCCAGAAGAGTAGCTCCCTGTTTAGCTAGAAAAGAGTAATGTGTTTTCAAAAGGTATTTTTCTTCCTCTTTTGAATTGTCAAAGTATCTGAATACTATTGTCATCTAGTTTTGTCATCTAGACTTTTTGAGAAGTTATTTGTTCTATAGCGTATCTGTACAAAATGACTAATGGTTGTGGTGTAAGTCATAGTATTCTGTACATGGAACTGTTGAAATTGTTGTATAGTTTGAGCCAGGTGTGCAGATCAGAATAGAGAATACTTAAGCAAACTGGGTATACAGAAGTCCATAAGGATGAATCCACAAGTGCTGAGGCAGCTGGGACTGTTTAACCAGGAGAAACCTCAGGTTGGGGTTCATCAAGGCCTGCAAATATCTGAAGAGAGGCTGTAAAGAACATGGAGCCAGGCGCTTTCCAATGGTTTTTGGTGACAGGACAAGCAGAAGTGGGCACAGACTGAAACACTGGAGGTTCCTCCCGAACATCAGGAAATGCTTTCTTTCTGTGAGGGTGTCTGAATACTGGCACAGGTTGCCAGCAGTGATGGTAGAGTCTTTGTCCTTGGAGGTCCTTAAGAGTTTACCAGACATTGTACGGGGCAACTGGCTTTGAGCAAGCCTGTTCCTCTTTTGCAGGATGAGCTTCAGAGGTGCCTTCCCACCTCAACCATTCTGTGATACTGTGCTTGCACAACATGAAATAAATGCCAAAGCCGTAACTACTGTTTCTTAATGACCAAGTAATTTCCTTATCTTTGCAAGCAAAGAATGTGTAGAAGCATTGACTCAGACTGTTCAGACATAAGTTGTGTGTTTGTTACCTTTGGCAGTTGAATTAATTGATGCCTGGAAATATTTTATTTACTAGGAATTGTCAAAAGCAGTTACTTAACTATGATTTTTATATTCATTCCTTTGCAGTTGTTTAGCAGTCTCTCATGTAACACTGATTTGAGTTTCTAGTTTTCTTCTCTGAAAGTGATATTCTTTCTTTTAAACACGGCTCTTATCATAATGTTGGTTTTTTTGTTGTTTTTTTACCTCTGTAAACATTTTAGCGCTTGATTTGCAACAGTGTGGAATATCTAATGAAGGAGCAAGGTCATTATTAGATGCTCTTCAAACTAATACAACATTAGTGGTACTTGACATAAGAAAAAATCCATTAATTGGTATGTATCTGTATCTACCTTAGTCCTTTTTGTGAGTTTTTTCTTGGTTTTGGTTGTTTTTTGTTGTGTGGGTTTTTTTGTTTGTTTTTTTTGGGGGGGGGGAGGGAGGCAACAGTGTTTGGGTTTTTTGGGGTTTGATTGTTTTTTATTTCTGTTTGCATGCTGTTTATTCAGTGATCTGATTGCTTAAATGCTTGTCTCATGCAGGAAATTCTTAATAAGATATTTTCATTCTAGATCACGTTATAATGAAAAGCGTTATTGGAAAAGTTCTTATGAATGGAAGTAGTGCTAATTCAGAGGTATGTATTAGGCATTTTGGATTGAATTTGGGGCTTTCTTTGTAGCTGCTGTTGCATTTTTTTTAAATACTTTTTTTTAAAGGAAAGCTTCATTTGGGGTGAATCTAAACCAGCTACTCTAGTTATAAACAGAAGTCTGACTTCTAAGCAGTTTAAAAAACAATAAAAACATCACAAAGGGAGAAAACTAAAAATGTTAGCAGGAACATGATACTTTGGGCATTTTGTATGATTTCTTGTGTAATTTAAGATACATGTAATAAAACCTGGTGTCAATTTAACGAAAAGAAAAATGGAAATGTGTGTGTATATTTGGGCATTACTGTAGAATGTTAGGTAAATACTGCTGCTGGACTGCTGGTAGGCTTTCTTGTTAACATGGTAGTAATAAGTTTTCATTAAAAAGTAAAGAAAATCACAGTTTAAATTTTAAAACTATTTATTTTGAAACTTATTTTCTGCCAATAATTTACATAGTCAGGATTTTTTTAAGTTACTCATAACTATTCTTTCTGATGCTCACCATGTAAGAAAACAGAGTTGAGTTGAAGTACTGTACCCCTTGCAATCTTTATCTAACAGTCCACAGAGAGTTTACAGTGGCATGCATAAACTGAGTATCTGGACCATTTATGGTTAGATACACTATTTAAGTACTGAGTTTTATTTTTTTCTAACATAAAAATTGGATTCAGTTACCAAAGGAGACAGCAAACAAATGAGTGTATTCTTGCTATTGGTTTCACAGAGCTGTAACAATCCCACTCATTGTTCTGGAACTTACTGCTCTTTCTGGTTTTGAAAAAGCTTAAAAGTCAGAGCTGCAGATCTGTGTAGGGACTATCTAATAAACTGAGAAGTTTGTGTGTAGGGTCCTTGGGGATTGAAGTTCCCCATTTCAAATGTCTTAAAGACTTCTTTTGGAGAAATTGAGGCTGGTTGTGAAGTACGCATTGTCCTTGGCAGATGCAGTCAACACTTTTAAAATGTTGCAGGGATCATGTGATAATAGCATCTGCCTGGAGAGGCTCAAGATGATTGGAAAATTGAACTGTGAAAAGAAGTAACTCTCTGGGTAATCTCCCATATACTAAGAGATCGACCAAGATGTTTGTTTTATATTCATCCAGGTAGTGCAGTGTCTTAAGTTGTATTGGTGATGCTAGTAATTTTTCATACCTTATTAACAATATGAATGAAGGACTGACCAATAGCTTGCTAAATAACTTTTCTTCTTCCACAAATAAAACCAGCCTAGATACTTTATTTCATAAAGTCTGTGAGTAGGCTGTTGTACTAACATTTGCCATTTCTCCCAGGAATGGTGCAGACACTCAAAAAAGGGATGATCCACCTGGTTAGCAAGATGGATGCTAACATTCGATGTTGAGGTTGATAGACTTTCGAATGGGAAACATTCACTATCTTAATCTAGGACTACAGTTGACTTTTATCTTAGTTGCAGCACTCTGGATATTATAAAGGGAAAAACAGTTGAGTTTCTTTGAGGTAGTATCTCCATGTGCTCTATATTGAAAGTCACTAATGTGGGGTTTTGTTTTGTTGTGTGTGGTGTGTTAGTGGTGTTCTGTGGGTTTTTTGATATTTTTTTTTTTCCTTTCTTTTAAGGATTCAAAACTGAGGGAATAAATTAGTAAATGGTCAGAGATGTTAATGAAAAGAAGCAGTTGCTCTAGGCTGTGTTATGGAAAGAACTGCAAGGACTGTTCCTTCATTCTGTCAATAGTAAAAATTCAGCCATTTGATTTAAAAAACCCCAAAGCACAAGTTAAAACAATTTAAAAGTGCATTTTTGAGAGTCCTAATGGCATATTCTAAATTCTATATCTAACTAACACTTTGGTTCTTTATATTTTTTAACATAAATTTCAGTTATTTTTCGGATTTTCCATTATTTTTTATAGACTACATTTACAAGTTTATAGAAGCAGTGTTCGTTCCTTGTAGCTTAAGCTTGTCAAACAGAATACACTCAGTTAACATCTACATTGCTTCCTTTTGTTCTACCTTCCTGTGTACTGCCTCCAAATCCGTGATGTTTGAAAAGGATGTGCTCATCCGTTGTTTTGTAGTGGAAAAAACATTGGTATTTATCTTTGAAATGATTTAATTTAGTAGGGAGGGTTTTTTTTTTTTTTTTTTTAATTTTACCTATTGTAGTTGCTACAGATCTGAATTTCATATTGATAGAAAATGACGAATCAATTGGACTGATGTTAGCCTATGTGTAGACACTTGTTGACCATAAGGTGTAAGATGTAATTCTCTGTGAAACTAATGTGCTGTCTGCTCTTGCAGCAAGTGGCCCAACTGAGACTGTATCTCGCCCACAGAGAGCTAAAGCTGCATAGATTATCAGCCCTCGCACTGCCTCCAATTTCATCTATTTCTGGTTTCAGCTTTTTATTGTGCCAGAGGCTAACTGTCATAATTCTCATGAGTAAAACTCCAAAAAGTGGTGTTTATATTTGAGAAGTGGCAGAGCTCTGTTCTGTGTCATCTCATCTTGTCAACTCCATGGTTTTGCTTATGCAGAAAATATATTAAGGTGCTACTCCGTTGCTTTACAAAGAGAGGTTCAGTGGGCTTTTGAGTAGACTCATGGCAATAAGCCATCATAACTACAAAAGATTATGTCTTGGCTGCCATAAATAGTCTGTAAAGTACTGTTGCCACTTGCTTTCTGGATACAAATCTCAACAGTCCTTCCATCCAGTTCTGCATGAAAACTGGTGGTTATCTCTCTGCTTTTCAGTAGCATGTAGGTGCTTACCTTTTTAGTTGGGTTTTCAGGTTTGCAGGAAGAGATGCCTGCTGCTAATTGATGACTTTAGATTTGATGGGCAGCTAAAACAGTGGAAAATTGTATTATCTTAGCAGCGCTGTGTTGCTAGTATAGTGGATTGTAATCGTAGATTGATTGTAGTAAGTGGTGAAAGTTTGTGTAGATTCTGAGAAAGACTGAGTAACTTAAAGGAAAAATTCACTGAAGGTGTGTGTAAAACAAGTTGCTTTCGCAGTCTGAGCTCAAGGACTTAGTAATTTTTTAACACTGTCTTAACATGTTCACTCTCTTTATTATTTGCATGTTGTACAACAGTTGCAGGCACCCAGACAAAAGACAGGCTACTGGGCTAGGTAAACTTTAGGCTTAGCCTAGGATAGGTGCTTTCTTATATGCGTAGTAAAACAAAATGAAGATACTCTTGCTATTAGAAGTTTACAGTTTAGTTTTACTCTTTCTGTCTATTTTTTAGTTTAAAATGAACAATTCACTTGTCTCAGGAGCCAGATCTAGCTGTAGACCTAGCAAAACTTACATGACTTCAAAGCTAGGGTGTTTTTTGTTTTTTTTTGGTTTTTTTGTTTTTTTAAGAAAGGGGATTTCTTGCCAATGATAACTTTGTACTAAACTTAGAGCACAGTCATGGCATCTTAATCTTGCCTGTGCACTGGGTGGGAATACCTTTGGTGTACAGTTCCTAGTATTAATGATAAGGGGGTTAGAGCTCTCTTGAGGTAAGCTTTGTGTTAATATCAACTGCATTTCCTTTGACAGCTGCTTCAGTGCTAGACTGTGTACTCACTATAGCTAGATGCACACTGAAAAATAAATGACAGTGTTACTTAATAACTGCCTGGAATAATTAAATAATAGAGCTGTTGCTATAAAAGAAATTAAGTTTGAAGTACATCAACTGCCTTTGATTATCACTATGTATTTATTTTAGTATTGAGGGGTTTTTATTATAGGAAGTGAAAATTAAACTTCATATTTTAAAAAATACTAACTTCACTGATAGTATAAAATCATGTTAAGAAAGGTTTTATTACTCTGGAGAACTTTGGCCTGAGCCAGTCATTCCTAGCAAGCCAGCTTTCTGAGAATGAAATGCAAAAGCCAGATTTTCCTTTTTATAGGGTTGATGCCATTTTTTTTTGCTATAAAAGGAGAAGTGTTTTGCACAGGGGAGAGGAAAATACTGGATGCGATATTATAGTGGTGTTCTGGGAACACTTTCTGATAATGTAGCACTCAGACTTGTGTTGCATCTGTGTTTGAATTTCAGCTTTGTCGGGTTTTTGTTTTCCTTAATTTTAGTTTATTAAGTTTTCTGTAACGGCAGCATTCTCCATGTATCTGACAAAACCCCTCTAATCATAAATGGGCACCTCTTTAAATATCAGTTACTAAACCAATTTGTCTTTCTGTTTAAAACAAAAATATCCAGTATAAGTGGCTGATGTCTCCATCTTCCAAGGATGTTTTGAAAACTAGACCAAAGAAAAGAACTATTGTCCTAGGAAGTGGTCGAAAAGGAAAAGCTACTATTCGTATTGGTAATACTGTCTTTATTTTCTCTGACTATAGTAATTTTTGTCTAAAAAATAATCTTTTAATGTTTAAAAGCTTTAATTATAAAATAGTCAATGTATCTAAATGTCAGTGTTTTGCAGAATACTTTTCTTCAAAAAAAGAAATATCCATTTATTCCTAATTCAGTAACATGTCTTCTACCATCAGAGTTTTCTGTACAAAACTTGCTCTTGTTTTTAGTGTTACTAGATATGTGGCTGGAAAAATGGTAGGGAATGCTGACTTAGATATGTGAAAGTGTTGCATGTATTTATTCTGACTGCATCCTCACCATGAGCTTTCCACTTGTAGGAAGCTTGTCAGTTGTAAGTTGCCTACTTCTTCTGATGATAGAACCTTTCATAGCAGACTTTCCTCTGCCAGAACAAACAAGCATGAATTTTTTACTGAAGTACAGAGTGTTCTAACTTTTTTTTTTTTTAAATTTAATGTAAATCTACTATAAATAGTATGTTTAAAATAACACAGGAATCTTAAATATAATTAAATATTGAATATAATTAAGTACTGATAGCTATAGCACACTCGGTATTTTTCAGTGAGTTACTAATATTTCCACTGTAATACATTTGGCTGTCTTTCATCTTTGCTCTAGTTGTCTGGAAGCAGAGAGGTAAGCATAAATCAGATTGAAGTCTTTGTACAAGTAAACTGTGGGGATCCAGGGTGATGAAAGAAGAAAATGCCTGAACTTAAGTGTAATTGTGGTGGGTTTTGTTTTTTAGTGATTTCTTCTTTTTGGTGTTTGTTTTTGAAGAGTGAACATTAGGAGGTGATTACTCATCCTGTTTCAACTGAGATTTGAAACCCCGTTGCCATAGTTAGGCATTTCTATACTATTAAAAAATTAGTTGTTTTAATGATCTCAGAGAAACAATAACCTGAGCTCTCATGAGATTATCTGTATGAAATACTAGGTGAACAGTTTTTTGACTTACACAAAACCTGGGGGAGAGTGATCATCCACACTAGATTATCTAAATTTACTTTGAGTGATAGAGTATGATTTAAAGAACAGCAGAAGACTGGACTAGTGAACACAACATTTCATTATTTCTCTTAAGTGAATATATTGCTGGTGTTCTGCAGAATTGATCAACATGACCTCATAGCAGCCGTCTGGTATCTGAAGGGGACCTATAAGGATGTTGGGGAGGGACTGTAGTGGTAGAACAAGGGGTAATGGGTTTAAACTTAAACACTGGAAATTTAGATTAGATGTAAGGAAGAAGTTCTTCACAGTGAGGATGGTGAGGCACTGGAATGGGCTGCCCAAGGAAGTTGTGAACGCTCCAACCCTGGCGGTGTTCAAGGCCAGATTGGACAGAGCCCTGGGTGACATAGTTTAGTGTGTGGTGTCCCTGCTCATGGCAGGGGGTTTGGAACTAGATGATCTTAAGGTCCTTTCCAATCCTAACTATTCTATGATTCTATGAGAAACTATATGCATATATAGCATTTATATCATGTGCTATATAAAGCATATGATCAACACGCATTAGCTATAAGCATTTTGCCAGTTAGAAAACCAGCGTTCTTCACACTGAAGCCACTAGAGGGCAATTTGAAACGTAGTTAGCCCTGTTACCTACATGGACTGTACGGGCTTGCACTGAAGACAGTGCAGTTAGGTATCTGAAATCAGTAGTGTGAATAAAACTCCTTAGCTACAAAAATTTGTTTCCTTTTTGAATAATAACATGTCTTTCTTATATCAACCTAACATAGCAGTTAAGTACACCAGCTTATGATTGCAAGCAGATAAGCTATCCACCACTCTTTCTGAGAAGCAAACAAAAAGTTTTTGAGCACTTCAGCAAAGTAAGACTGAAAGGTAGTTCTCCTACAGTCCCTTTTATTACATAGGAGATTTTACTTAGAGTAAGCTGTGAATTTATATGTAAGTAATTAAGTATAATTAATTCACTTTTCTTCTCTTGCTGTTCAATACAGGGTTACCATCTAAAAAGTCTGTAAGTCCTGGGAAAAAAAGTATGTCTGTGAAAGACAGTTACTCACCAAAACCACTACCACCAGGCACAAAAGGCTTCCTTCCTTGGCGGACTGCAGAACGTGCAAAGAGATGCAGGTAAGGTTTTTATAGGACAAGGGAAAACACTAAAGCATAAAAGATACATGATAAATAGAGAACAATGTTAGGTTTTTTTAAATAAGTTTTTAAAAGTTATACACAGAATTACATATTGCATCTATAGTTTTTTCCACTTACATAATTTTTGAGGATGTTACATAAATTCTATTTCAGTAGGTTTTTAGAATACCCGGAGAGATATAATTTGATGGCCATATTCAGGTGTAGCAAAACTTCCACAACCAAACCCATCTTGCTTGCTTGTTCCCATGTTACTAAATATTTATCAAACTTACTGTAGCTGAAGATGCAGTTTAGTTTTCTAATCTTGTTGTATAGTTTGATTTGGCATCCAATTCAAGTTTCCTAGGTATTTTTTGCACTTCTTTCTGCTTTGTCTTCCCAAATACCACCTTAATTATTGTGATCATCTAAGTCCTGTGAAGACAAAAAAAAAAAAAAAAAATTGCACATGGGAACCACAATATTCTTATGCTTCCTTTTGAAACAGTTTTGGTTGGGATTTTATGAATGCATTCCCTTGACCTTGGCCTCTCAAAATGGGAGCTTTACAAAAAAAAATTACTTAATGCTCTATCATAACTATGGAACAGAATGAGGATGTGATGAGAGTTACAGAGATACAGTGCAGTGTCTGTTGCTGATTTTGCTCTTACTGCTTCACCAGTCCTACAGTCTTGTGTTTGGAAATGGAATGGCAATGGTGACATTATAAACAATTTTCTCAAAAATGGTGGGTTTTTTTTTTTTTTTTAACTTTAGAGGAGGGCCAGTGGATACTACTGAAGAATTACCAGTGAAGACTGAGGTACACTCTCGTATGATGGTTTAACAGATGAATGTCTGGAAAAAAGATGAAAGCGTTCTCAAGAGAATATTACTGTCTAAAAGTTAAGACTGGGACTCGCTGAGAAGTTTCTCTCTGAGAAGTGCAAAATAACAGTTTACAACAGCGTTTGGTTGAAACTTCTTTGATACTCGATTTACTCCCATTCTGTCACCACTACCTCAGTTTGTTAGAGCACCTCCTCCTCCTCTGAGCCTGGTGTTCCCTCTCCTCTTTCTCACTGTTTTGCTTCCCTCCTCTTCTGCATGTCTGGCGTTTTTTTCCCTTTCCTAAATACATTTTCCCTGAGGCACTGTCATCTTGGCTGCTGGGCCCGGCTGTGCGTTGGATACAGCTGGAATGAGCTAGCATGGGGCTGCCCTCACCGCTCCTCATAGGGGCCACCTTTGCTACTAAATCCTTGCTGCATGTAGCCATTATATGTGCACAGATTTATTTTTCTTTTCCTAAATACTGTTTAATGCAAATTTATTTCAAAATTGTTAGCTGGGCAATGTATATGCATTATAAGGAATTCTGGGAAACTCTTGCATTTGAATTAAGCTTTTGGTACTATCTTTGATTTTTATTGCACAGTATAATTAATGCTGTGAGTGGGTGTGGTTTTCTTTTCTGATGTAATTAGACAGGTATTCCTGTAAAAGTGACAGTGGAAAGTGCTTCTGCATCTGAAACCGAAGATACAGAAGATTTAGATGTTGTTATCCACTACCCTGATTTGGCAAAATCATTAGATAAGATTAACATAACAAAGTATCAACAGTTACAGGTAAGAGGCATGTTCTGTGCCTGAAAATCCATGAAGGCAAAGTACACCAATTAAACCAAGTTTTATTCAGAAAATTACGGTTAAGATAATAACGAGTCATGGAGCAGGATTTCTGAATAACTTAATTAGCCTTCACTAAGTCAGGCAGGCTTCAGTTTCAAAAGATGTGCATCAAGTATGCACTGAATTTCCAATCTCTGAATAGGTCTAATGAAGACGTGTACACTTTTGATAATAAGCATATTGTCAAAACAGGCCATAATGAGGAAGAACCCTGCTTACTACACACAGCTGCAACATGCATAATTTCTCTGTTTGTCTTCATTCATGGTTAATGAATCTTTTGATGAGTGTTACTGCATGTAGTATTTCCTTCCAAGTGTTTCCTTTATAAATGTAATTCAATGTTATTTCTGATTATAGAAATAAAAATAGCTAATATATGGTAATGATTGTTGTCTAAAAATAATTACAAAAATGATAGTGTGTTAAAGCTCCATTTTATAATAGAGCTTGGTATAAACTTTTTAAATTTCCTTTTTATTATTTCCTCTGCTTCTTTGACAGTTCTATAAAACTAGCACTAGCAAGACTGACTATTGCTGCAAATGTCTTGACAGGAAATGTTCTTATGAAAGGAAGGGAAGACAAAGGGTGTGTTCCAATGCCTCAGTAACACTGCTGAGGTAATCTAGCACTATTATGAAGTAGCACCCTCAGGCAGAGTTACTGTGTTGTTTCTGAAGTGTTAGGACATAAATTTTATTTTGAGTATCTGCACTGCCTCCAAATGAATACTGCTAAAAATAAGGCCTATAGTCAGATTGGTTTTGGTGGTGATTGTCATGGAGTACCACACTGGGTGAATGAACTGTTCGTGCGTATAAATATGAAGACTGTCTTTATGTAAGTGAAGTGAAGCTGAAACTTGGTGTTGCAGATCTATATGTAATGGGAGGGTTAGGGTGGCTTAGAGTTACGGTGGAAGGCAAAAGAACTGTGCAAATACTGTGTAAATAACTACCTGCTTTCTTTTTCAGCTGATGTACTCTTTTTCTTTAGGCCTACCCTTTTTCTCTCTAGAGCTTCTGTTCAGGAAGATTTTCAGGGTTTTCACATGTTGCTGGGACTTAAATTGTATAGCAGCTTCCTTCTCTGTAGGTGATTTTATATTACTGTTTGTGTGCAACATGTTGAGATTTTGCTGTGCAGTGGCTTCAGCATTCTCATGAAGAGCGTTCTGTCTGGAATCATAGAATTCCATGTCATGTGCATATTGCACCAAAAACTGTATTTGGTACTTACTGCACTAAAGACAGGAAATAAATGCTTTCAGAAAAGCATGTATTTTTGATGTATTTATTCATGGTGTTTGAAGAGGTAGAAATATCACTTTCAGGACTCACTGCAAAGGAATACAGTGTTTTGTGCTTTGCGGAAGGGTTGTCATACCGACCTGTGTTGTCCGTGTTACCCGTAGTATTACATATAGAGCAAGTGTAAGGAAGGGCTAACTTGTGCTTAATGTTACCTTCCAGGGAGGTAAAACTAGAAATTTTAGGAACCTACCCCAAAATTAGTTCCGATTTTCCTGTGCTTGTAAAGGTCCAGACTCTCCTGATTTTCTGAATTTGAAAACCAGAATATTTTTTTAGGCCATGTTTACATACCTGACAGTGCTGCTTAAGCAGTCTCGAACTGTTCCTGTGCCTCACCCATCCTTTCTGTTATGTTGGTTTGTTATGCAAGGCACACAGTTTCATATTATGGCAGAACCGAACTAACAACTTGAACTATTGCATTGTGAGGTCCATTTTTCCTCCATCTCTTCGCGCTTTTCCATTTCTTACTTCAGTCTTTTTCTCTTTTGTGTCTTTTGTTCATGTTTACCTGATCATAAGGTGAGTTGATTCAGCTGGTTTATGTGGAGAAAACGCATTCAGTTTAATAGAGAAGTGCGAAGGTCTGCACTAGGGGAAGAGCAGCCCCGTGCACAAATACACACGGAGGGCAGACTGTCTAAAAAGCAGCATTTCAGAAAAGGCCCTGGGGGTTCTGATGGACACCAATAGAACCCAAGCCAGCAGTGTGCCCTTACGGCAGAGAAAGTGAATGGCATTCTGCACTACATTTGGAGGAGTGCTGTCAGCTGATGGAGGTGATCCTTTTCCTGTATTCACTCAGCACTGGTGAGGCTAGACCTGGAGAACCATGTCCAGTTCTGGGCTCCCCAGTACGAGAGAGGCATGGGATACTAGACAGGGTCCAATGAAGAAGGCATGAGGATGCTGAAGGGATTGGAGCATCTCTGCTGCAAGGAAAGGCTGAGAGAGCTGGGACTCTTCAGCCTGGAGAAGAGAAGGCTCATATTAATATACGTAAATGCTTGAAGGGAGGGTGAAAAAAGGATGGAGCCCGTCTCTTTTCTCTGGCGCACAGTGACAGGGCAGAGGCAATGGTCACAAATGGAAACATGGGAGTTTTTTCCTGAACCTCAGGATGCACTTTGACTGTGACGGTGACTGAGCACTGGCGCAGGTTGCTTGGGGGGAGAGGGGTGTGTGTGGAGTCTCCCTCCTTAGAGATATTAAAAAAAAAAAAAAAGTGTCTAAATGTGGTCCTGGGCAGCTTGTTGTAGGTGGTCCTGCTTGAGCAGGAGGTTGTGTCAGATGATCTCCAGAGGTCCCTTCCAGCCTTGACTGGTGATTGTGATGCTTTTCCAGATTAGTTTTCTGCCATTTTAATGACTCACCCTGGCTTACGAGATGGTGTTGTAGAACTGGAGCAGAGTAAGTGGCAGAAGACTGTGGCTGATAGTGTGTGAGAGGAAGTGGAGGACTCTTTATCTGCGTTAATTGGGCTTAGGTACTGTTACTAAAACAGCTTTTACCACAGAACTGCTTGTGGCCGGGAGCTGACTTGAGGGACTGATCTAGCTAGAAAGTAAGCCAGTGTATTTATCTGTAGCAGGCCTTGGCACAGCCTTTCAGTAAAGTGGGACAACCAGCTGTGCTAGAACAATGATGGGATGCAGAGACAGAATAAACAGTGAGAGGCAGGAACTCCTTAAACTGCCACTGTGCCAAAAAATGCTCTTCAGACATTCCTTGATGAGACTAAATGACCAGACTTTCACTTTAGTATGCAAGTCCTTACAAACTTCCCTGCATCCTTCTGTTCAAAAAGGGGCTTTAAGAGTACTATTTAGTGATTTTTTTTAGTGTTAGTTGTGCTTTCATTTGGAAAAAAAACAAGCCAAAAAACCCTTCGCTAATGGAAAGCTGAATTTCTGCTTAAATGAAAAATGGGAACTGATAAGTATTCTTTCCTTCCACTACATGGAATCTGAAATGTCAGAATTGCCTCTGATGAAGAATGTAGTTGAAAAAACTCCCAGATTTTTCTTAAATCCTTAAATAAGAATATAAGTTATGAACTTCACCCTTAATACACTTAGCAGGGTAATTTTTTTCTACACATTAATACTAGATGAATTGTGTAGAAGTAGAGATAACACCATAACCTCTTGTCAAAAATAAGGACAACTGTGTAATTAAGAAAAACGTGGCAAATTGGTTGCTAAAGTTTTTTCGTATTTGTATGTTTTTAGTTTTTAAACTTCGGTTTTATATTCTTGTCTAGAGTGAGTTGTGAGTTGTCGTATTGCATACAGTAATTCTGAGGGCTACAAATAGCCTTGAAGATGAAGATGAATAGTAAATATATCAGTTCTGTCTTTCTGGACTACAGTACTAGAAGGCTCAATATCATAACTTGGGTCTACATTTATGTCTCTTTGAGCTTTTTTCTGCAGAAGACTAGAGGCCTATGTAAGCTAGTGAATTTCTGAAAAGGAAATCAAAGAATAAGGCATACATAAGACTTGTAATTTAGTGGTGACAAATATGTTTGCACAGGGACAAGGCATCTGTCTTTAAATGTAGGCTTCTGTTACTGCTTATGAGGAGATGTAGCTGCTTTGTTTGTAAATTTTTTCATGAAGTGAGGCCATAATCATCAAATATTGCCTACATCTGCAGGGTGATACTACAAATCCTCCAAGTTTCTTTTGAAAATCTTAATTTAACCATTTTCTGAGCTTTTGCCTTTTGAAAATACAAACAAACAATGTGAAAAAAAAGGTCAGTGCTGTTACACTTAGAATTGTCTAAAATCTGTCCAGAACAAAATTACTATAGAACTCTGGTTTCTAAAGTTGAGTTGCTTGTCAAAAGCCCCTGCACACTAGAAACTTTGAAATACATACATATATGCATATGTGCACACACTATAAATGGAACTGTAAGAACTTTTCAAGTCTGTGGTACCTGTGACTGATCTTCAAAGCCTAGGTTATAAGATTCTAGCTTACATGTGAACTTGTGAATGCACAACATTATGGGCGCTACTTTCTGTGCTGAGCTTCTGTATCTGTAACAGAATTTCTAGCTCCCGTTATTTCCACGTGTTCTGGGGTAGATTGCAGTAAGATTGTGGTTTTTGTTGAGGGTTCTCCTTAGAGATTTCCCCCCTACCCCATTCCTGAAGGCAATTTTGTTATATCATGACAGTTAGGTACTGTTAAATCTCTTCCCAAATACTGTTTTTGAAATGTAGTTTTCCTATATATTCTGACCTCTGAGAATCTTTCTCATGTTTGGATGATAAAGATATGATAAGCTTTCTAGTTACAGGGTTAGATTTGATGGTGCTAATCGAGGGGATCTTGGGAGTGGGCTTCACTGGACAGTAATGACAGACCCATAATCTTCCTTCTGAGTGGTTGTCACTGGGTGGGCTATAGCTAGTAGAACATTTTAGAAACTTCGTCTTTGAATTAGATGCTAAAGTCCCTCTCATCCTACAAGACCTGTGAGAACCTTTTTGCGTTTGCAGAAGGATTATTTTCACTATGCATTCTGTTGCACACCAGTCTTCCCAGTTGATCGCTTGTATGAAGTGTAGTAGTATGCTCCTGAATAAGCTTTTGATCATAAAAAAAGGTATTCAATACTGTTTGGATCTTTACTCCTCTGTAGAACTGATTGATAAGATGTGTACAAAAAGCAGTGTCCTATGTCACATGTATGTGCTGGTATACAAGGTATATAGAGAAATGAAGAAACTTTGTATACTGTTCATTCATCTAGGTTACCCTCTGAAAAATAGAGCAGCTTTAAGAGTTTTTACCTTTGGAAGCAGGAGGCTGTGGTAAAGCATGCAAGAAGAAAAAGTCCTATTTGTTCTTCTACTTCAGATGCTGTAATTAAAGATGTTAATGCTCAACATGGTGCAAGAAAACATGGTATTGTTTGTTAAATCCTGACTGCTGTTCACTGAAGCAGAGAGATTCACTTCTTGGAATTAAAATACAAGTGTAGGCACCTCATGAGTAAGGCTAGAATATGTTTGTTAGATGTTAAAGTTTGGTATTGTTTTTGTTAATTCAACACTAAAATGCTTGGCTCAATCAGCTTGTGATTATGAACAACTTTTTCTGCTGAAGAACTAAGTGAAACCAATCAGACAGAGTACAGTTCTTACAGTTCAGAATTTTGTATTCCTGTTGCTGTAATAAGGAATACAGTCCTGGATGAAGAATACCTTCTGAAAATCTAGGTATGGCTACTAAGGACTTTTTTAGAGCCCAATTTGAGCATTTGATGAGGTTCAAAATAAGGCTTGAAAAGGTGAAGTGGAAGAAGAAGATGTAGAGAAGAACATACTTTCCTGATGGTAATGTCATAGGCCCAAGAGAGTTGTCCATAATCTTATGTTACCTATTGCTATATTGCAAATCTGTTAAGTGAATCATGATTTTTTCTGCTTGCCTATGTTAATGTTTTTCATCCTAGAGGTACGTACTGGTGGACCTCTGTCATGTGTTTTTGTACAAGATAAATTCTTGCTTGGAATTCCATGTGCTAGTTGTTAATTGGACGTGCTGAGTTTTTGCATAATATTGCATGTTGATCTGACATTTTGAAATAAATTTTGTGACAGTTTATATCCATGTTCTGATAGGTGCAGCTGGAACAATGCATGGAAAAATTGAAGGAAGAACAGAGTGCAAGGGTAAAGGCTGAGGAACGGATAACGGAGGTCATTATTTTTAACTGTTAATCATCTTTACTTTTAAAGGAGGCACCTGTCAAACTATCTGCTTGCTTAATTAGGAGTAATTATCAATGACCTCTAATGTGGCAGCTTCCAGAGTTTCAGTTCAAAGTCACGTGGATCATTTACTAGCCTGAGGGCAATGATGAAATCTGCGTTTAGTAATGTGTGCTTGTTCTCTGGATCCTATTCCAAAGCCTTGAACTCTGGGTCAAGCTACTCTTCCAATGTGTTTTATTCATTTGGTGTGTTACTTAGGATCTGGAGCATTCTGATGTTTATTTTTTCTCAAGAAAGTGATTAAGTCTGCTTGCAGTTTGCTGCAAATGGATAGTTCTTTGAGGTCTCCCACCTTCTTTACCATGATGTGCTGAAAAGTCGTTTGCAAATGTTGTTTAATTTGGCTTATTCTGTCCCTTTGATTTTTAAGTTTTGTTTCTGCAGGCAACAGAAGTGTTGGCTGGTTTTATACATTGGCCATAATTGTCAGTTGTTGTGAAGTACAGTTTTGCTTTATGATAGAACCAAACTAACAACTTGCCACAGTTGAATTGTAAGGTCTGTTTCCCCTCTGTCTGGTTGTTGCTGAGCTTAAAAGATTCTTTTGCAACAGTTAGCAGAATTTCTTGCAATAGATTTGAGTGCAAGATAATGTAAACAAATGAATTTGGTTTCTAGATGTGATCTGAAGTGGAATGAAAGTTCTAATACACTTTGGAACTGAGCAACAAGTGATACCCCACAGTATCACAGTACAGGGAGCAGATACCCACAAACGACTGCAGTCTACAAGGTTCCTTGTAGTTCTCCAGTGTGGCCGTCCCCATCCTTCAGTAATGTGGAGTGCACTGCTGGATGTCATTTGTATGAATACTTTTTAGGCTAAATACCCACTGCAAGAAATATTTATCTTTTGTGCTAGACTGCTTAGACCTAGCACCTTGTCTCAAGAGAAGGGATAAACGAAGTAGCAGTAATCTTCGAACTTGTTCATTTTGGTGCTGGTTTAACAGCTACAGTGCACTATGCAGAGTTATAATTTTTGTCCTCACATAAAGATGGAAGAAGGAAAACCTGTGGTGGAAGTGATTGCATAGCTAATCTTAAACAAGTGTCTGATTTAATGTTTCCCTGAAACACAAACCACTATATATGCTTCTACCATTCATCTTTCAATTTGTTTGATTAATACTCAATGTGGAGAAAAATTGGATCATCTTGAACTTTCAGTTTTGGGATGCACAGTGCAGGGGAGAGATGCAGTCATATCCAGTCCCTCTGATACAGAGGGATGAATATAAAGGAGAGCATTTGCCTTCATTAAGGTTTTTATTAGTAAAATGAATTCTTTGGTGTTAATAGGTCATATAATAGATGCAAAACAACATGATAGGAAGGCTAATCTTTTTGCTTGCACTTACTCTCAACATTCTGTATGTACTGAAGACAGTGCTGAGCCAGCAGTTTTGAGTGCCTGCAGCAATTTCACTATGGTAGCATAGAATTGCAGCCGTGGATAAACAAACCTGCACAGAGCTCGGTTTAACAGTGCCCTGAATATTTCTGGTACAGGAAGCTCTGTATCAGTTGCAACAGTTACTTTGGGCATTTGTCTTTGTGATACTGCTCTATAGGCTTGCAAAGGTGGGTTTGGGTATTTTGTGGGGATTTAACTGACAGTGGTAGAAATTACCTTTTTTTTTACCTTTTCCCTCCTTTTTTTTTTTTTTTACCCTCAATAGCTGGAAATGGAAAATGCAAGATTAAGGAATCTAAATATCTCCCTATCTGAGGTTCTTCATGCGCAGTCAGTAACCAACATGATTTTGGAAGATGAAGGTGTTCTAGGCAGCATTGAGAGCTCTTTCCAAAAGTTTCACGCATTTTTAGACCTCCTTAAAGATGCTGGGTAGGTCATCACTTAAGTCTTAGCTGTTTCTGCTGAGTTCTTTTCTTTTTTTCCCCCTATGTAAAAAATAATTATTTCAGATGGGACCCTCCATCAATTCATGGTAATAGGAAGCTGCTCAGAAAGTTACAGAATACCAATCACAAAGACTGCTCTTCTCAGTAAGGCTGCAACTTCTCATTTATTATTGAGGCTTAAAATGCACAAGTACAAGTTTGGCCAAGTTGTAAGATGGCAGGTGAAACAACATGACTGCATTTGCAAAGCATGTAATTGGGTTTGGCTATTAGAGATTGTGCTAGTTTGGGAGATCCTTACCAATCTTCTGCTTGAATTACAGAGTTCTAATCTTTGTTCTACATGAGAGGCAATCTGCTTGCCAGCATCCTGGTTTGAGATCAGTGCTAACGGGGAGAACTTCATTCTTAACCTTGTAACACTGAATGAAGACTGACAGTTTTGAACCTTCAGCCTAATTTGTGCAAAGATCTGAAACTAACTTCAGCTACTTGTTTTCATGTTAATTAAGCTATTTTGGGCTACTTTGAAAACAGTGGGAAAAGCTATCCTCAAAGCTTCAAGCAGTTTCTGTTTCTTCTTCTGGTTTTGAATGTTTAGGTCTTTCACATGATAAAATTTTTTTTGTCATTTCCTATTAAACTGTATTTTACAGACTTGGACAACTTGCTGTGTTGGCTGGGATAGACCAGTCAGATTTTGGTCTTTTGGAGCATCCGCAAATGAATTCTACTCTCAGTAACCCTGCTAACGTGCTAAAGGAGAAGTCTTTTGAAGAAGAAAGACATGAACATATCCAGAATAGCAAAGTAAGTCTATAGAGGGAATGCTGGTGGCAATGTACTTGATAGTGTAATGCTTTTCTGCTGTTATCCCCCTCTGACTGAAAGTAATGATTACCAAATGATCCAACAAGTTAATGCAGTCTGTTTCTGTAGCTGTATTTATACAGATCACAGTAATTAACAATGATTAAGGTAGGTTTTTTAAGTGATTACCATTTGGAATGTATTTTGTAACGTACTAAAGAAAATGTTGGCGATAATGATGATGTTTCTTATTCCAGAATACAAAGTTCCTATAGTGGTATGCATCTGTTAAAAATGGAAAATACTATGACTAGATTTTTAGAAACACTTAATAGTGATTAGTAGTGGTTTTAAAATCTTAGTCTGATAGTAAAGAGTACAATAAGCTTGTTGAAAAGCATGAATTTTCTGTTAAGTAATTGCAGTGCATATGTCCACTTCAGTTAGATTTCTGTGTGGGCCATTTTTCGCCAAATGTCAGGCAGCTACAAATTTGGAACATTAACAGCATAAGGTTTTAATTTCTACTCTAAAATCAATAAATAGAACACTTTGCAGATTTTTCAAAGGAGATGCTAAAGATTTCATAAAAAAACAAAACACCCCCTGCCAAAAAAAAAACCAAAACCCCACACCAGACCAAACCAAAACCACCCAAACAGGCTTAAGATTTTAAAGGAATTAAAAATTAAGATACTGGCAGCCTACAAACTTGTCCAAGTTGCATAAAACTGTCATGCTAAGATTCATTCTGCATTCTGGTATGTTTATTATACCCAATGTCTTCCCCGTTAAGTGTTCCAAATTCCTCAAGAACACCATGAAGCTTCTAAATCATGATGGTAAAAAGTGTTGGTTTTTTTAATGGTGTGGAAAGCAATTTCCAGTTTTGCAGTTTGAATCTGCAAAAATTATTTGGAATAATAAAGCAGAATTATAGGTTCTTTGACATTTGTTTGGCTTGCCACAGTGTTTTCAGCTGATGGACTCTTCTGCACTGTGACATAAGCTTGTTCATGCAGTTTGAATAATTGTTTATCTAATTCAGCTACTTCTAGAAGCCTGAGCTTAATTTTACTTTTTTTTTTTTTTTTTAAGTATACAAAGCACACATGGCAAAGGATGATTACAAAATGCTTCAACTAACACTTATGCTACTCTCATACTTACCTCCAAGTATTGGTTAGTGTGGATTCTTGTAGCAGCTATGTATTGTGGGCTAGACCATTGAGACCACACTACTGTGAACTGTGAGGTATTTCAGAATGATAGATGTGACTAGGCTTTGTCTGCTTCAGTGTTAATGACACATTTCTGTAGTATAAAGTTCAACCTAGATGTGAAACTGTATTGTTATCACCCTGTCAATCTCCTGAAACTTGCTTGCTTTGAAAGGTAATAAAGGTTGTATGATTGCTGTTATCTCTGGATCTTTCCTGTATTATGTGATGACTTTTATTTTGCTGTGCAGATTTTGGTATATGGCAGTTGCAATACTGTTTTTTTTTCCCTCTAGTTGCATCAGTATCTTTATTAGAATCTCTTATTTCAGAACAGAGCTGTGGACATCCAAGCTTCTCTTCCTGGCACATTTCAATCCCAGATGGCTGTGAATAGTACCTTCTCTGCTCTTAGAGAAATAGAAGAAATTCAGGCTTCTGGGCAGCAGTACCAGCCCAGCTCACAGAACAAAAATGAAGCTCAAATCATTAACCAAAACAAAGAGGATAAACCTCAAAATAGTACTCCAGCATCCCCTGACAGGAGAGTCAAACAAAATGAACAAGCTAAAGAACATCAATCAGCAAGGCAGTTGGTTACCAGTTGGCATTCGTTTTCTGATTCCAGTGTACATATTAAAAGTAATGGTAGCAGAATATCCAGTGATGCTTCTCGTGAAAAGAGCAAAAATTGTTCCTCAAATAAATACATCCCTAGAGAAAAAGAAATGGCAGTTCCAAATGATGGAGCAAGCAGAGACCAAAGCAGACAGCAGACAGTAAACCGCTCTAGAACTGATACTCTTGGATCTGATTCTGAAATACAAGAAAGTATCAAAAGTCTTACCAGTATTTGAAATGGTTCTAAAATGTTTGGACTGTTTTTTACACTTGCAAGATTAAAAACAAATTTTTGATGCCTCAGTATAGTTTGTGAGTTTTTTGTAAAGTAATGTAGACTTTGTAACCTTATAAAGCGTTGCGTGCTATTTAGTATTTCTGTTCCATGTTTGCATCACTTGTTACTAGATTTTTGTTTTTGGAAAAGTGATACACTGTTAGAACGGTACCCTTCATTTTGTACTACATACAAAGTGTTCCTGTCATATGGATTTTACTGTGTATCACAGATCACATTGTAGAATGTAAACTGTCTTGAGCTAATAAAGTTAATTTGATTACATTTTTTTCTCCCAGCATTAATTTCCAGTCTATTGCAATGGAAGTGCTAAAAATGGGTTTAGGGGAGACAGCTAGTTACGCCTAACGCTTCTGTTGGTATGACATTTCCAAAAGCAGTGGAAGTTTTGGATTAAAAAAAAAAGTATAGAAAGACGTCTACCAGAAATATTTAAATACAGCCGCTGTTCCTTATTGCTATGGCTGTAGATCGTAGAATAATACATGTTGGAAGGGACCTCTAGAGGGTGTCTAGTCCAATTCTAGTAAAATTCAACTTGTTGTAGAAATGAGGAAGATGTTAAGTATTGAAGGAAATTTTAGGGAAAGTGTTTTAAGCAACATAAAATTTGCATTTGGAACAATGAAACAAACTGTAGTTTCGGGTTTAAGTGTAAGTCATTTGGTTCAACAATGGGTGTGAATTCTGTTTTTGAATGAACCAGTCAATTTTATTTCCTTAAAATAACTTTTTTATTACTTTTTTTCACATACATGTGGTTGTGTCAGTCCTGATTTGTAAAATAAATTTCTGAAATTGAAGTAGTGAGCTCTGACATACAATGCTTATCTTTATGAGAGATTCAGATGTTGAAAACTCATTACATTGTGCAGTGGTCATGAACGGTTGCCTTTTTAATAAACATAAAATTTAAATATTTTGCTTTTATTTCACTATTTACAGTGTTGGCTTAGATTTTGAAAGATCATAGTATTTTCAGTCTGTTTGGTGTGGACTTCTCTTGGCATCGTGCAGAGCGAAGGGGACAGAGAGAGTCTTAGAGCAGTGGAAGGTGTTTTTCAGATAGAGAAACTAGGCAAGATAATTTGGGCTGAGCTGGGGTGGGGGAAGAATTCTGCTTAACTTTCTTTTCTACTCTGTCATGAGAGTTCTAGAACAGATTGATCTGTAGAAACACCTGACTTGAGTTGCTTGACAATTATGAAGAAATTAATGAATTCTCCAATAGAAATTTTCTGCTGAGCAAATAGCATGAGATTGCCTTAGCTATTGCAATATTGCACAAATAATTGCTCATGAAAGTACATTATTTATGCAGACTTTGATACTTCAGACTAATAGCAGGCAATATATTAATTTACGCAATTTTTTAGATACTCTCCCAAACATTTGAGGGCTGTTGCTTCAGTCATGATTCTTTGCTTGTGATTTTGATTTGATAGAACAATTACATGCAATCAGATTCTTCAGCATTAAAATGCTGTGTGTTCCCTTTTTAAAGTTGAAACTCTAAAGCTAGTCACTATGAAATGGTAGATAAAATTATAAATTCAGAAGTGTTAGGATTTGTGAGGTTAGGAATTACAAATCTGCTATCTGGCCCTAAAAATACTGTAAAAAAATTAAATTGGTTTTTGTATAGTATACCTATGAGCAGGTGGCATAAATACCTTTTATGTTATACTACATAACAAATGTATTAGCTTTTAGAGTATGAACTATGTCAAAAATCGTAATTTAAAGCAAAATTGACCAGGCAGTATAGATGGGCATGTTATTTTTTCAGTGGGTACTTTTTTCATTAAGTGCTAATGTACTTAACCATGTTTCTTTTTTTCTTTTTTTTCTATTTTTTTTAAATCTTAATCAGAAATGTGAAGGATTCACCATCTCGTCACTGTTGCTGTTGTGTTGTACTCTTACTTTGAGAATCTGGAGGGCATACTTTATATGTAGTTGAATGATGGATCTTAAGTCAGTAGAGATAATGGATGTAAGTCATCTATGGAAAAGATTTTTAAGGCTATCTTTGATATCTCAGAAGTTTCAAGGTTAAAGCATTTTAATAAAAAGTGAAAAAAATACATAATACATACATTTTAAATGATTATGAAACCATTTTACCCTGAGGTTGGATATAAACTGTTTCAACCTCTTGCTATTAGTTAACGTTTTACACATTTGTCTGTGTTCTTGTTTGACAAAAAAAGCCTGAAATCAATATGCTAGATTTGCTAGAGAACATATTACTGTTTGCTTAAAAAAATCAAGCATTTTTATTCCTCCCTTTGTTTAGGCTTTCCAAAAGTTACTTTTCACACTTAATAATTGCAGTTTTGGAGACAGATAATAATTTGGAGACAGATCTCTGAAAAACAGAATAAACCCCAAACCCTTGTCTGAACTACCTCCATCTGTTTGAAGTCCCACCAGAATCTGCAGGTCTTGCTAGTTTGCTGGACCAGAATCCCAGCTGCCTACTGACACAGCTGCCAGGTTGCTATGTAGTCAGCATTATTTGTCTTTTAATAGTGACGTCAGTTTGTCTGTTATTATACTGAACAAATAACTCATCTGCACTTGCTCTCCTTGAGTGAGCTGATTCTGTTCCAGCAGCAGTTGATAATGGTTTTTGTGTCCAGCATAACATGAAGTCATGATGAACCACATAAAAATTCACTGGAAACTCAGAAACTTTATTTAGATGTTAGACTTACACTGTTTTGTTTTTTTTTTTTTGCTGCTTCTATTCTATTTTTCCAGTTGCATCGTAGTAAATACAGCACTCTCCACTTTTGTATTAATTATGCAGATTCATGTTGATCTGCAGAGATTTGTGGCACTTGAAGGGTCCAGTTCTCTATCCACTGCTAGAAGCCAGAAGCATGCTTGAAGTCATGGTTTACAAAAGCTTGTATTTTATATTGGGTGACTGTGAATATTGACATAATGAATTTCTGATTTTTTTTTTTGATATAACAAATATTAAATCATAATTGCTGGCAGCAAAATATTAAAATAGGAGAAATCTCAATTCAATAGAAACAGTACTCTGATATGGCCTTTACCATTCCTCTTCACTCTCTCCAACTTGGGTTGGAGGATAATAGTAATAATCCCTTGCATGTAGTAAAAATGGACTGTTTTCTGTTCAGGAAACTTTCTAGTTTATACATCCTTATTGATTTTTATTTACTCACCATCAGTGAGAATGTGAAATGAATTTTCTAAAGCTCTGGGTGCCCATGCTGCCAGCACAGTTGTCCTCTGTTCTCATGGGAGCTGTCATTTTTCACTCTTCTGGCCAGGATGGGATTTTCCTGAGCCAAAAAACTACAATACCATGTGTTTACTCCCTGTGCTCTCAGCCTATACTAACACTAGCTTGTCTGGTTTGTGGTTTTGTATTCTAGCTCTTTGTGCTACACTTTTAATTCCAAATTTTTAATTTACCTTGTAGTTCGTGCCACACAGTTGAGATTCAAGACTAATTCTGCTAGAATGTCGAAGCACTTCCCTGTAGTAGTGGTCAGGCTGCCCGACCAGAATCACCAACCTAAACTATTTCTGACTGTTTCCACTGCGCCTTCCTACTTTTTCCACAACAGACTGGAGTTCAAAGCTGCCTCTTTGGGCAGACATAGGTTTTCTGGGTTCAATACTGGGAAAAGCCCATACGAGGTGCTTTAACCCTGTTTCTGTCTGAGACTTGAGTAGAAATAACCGTATTATAGTTACATCTGTGTTGCTACTGAACATTTTAGTAGACGCTTCTATTTAATTAGAACTAATTTTAATAATTAGAATGAATGTAGTTATTCTGCATGTTGTGGCTTGAGACCTACTTTAAAAATACCTTGGTGTTTTGAAGAGAGTATGTCGAGCCTGTAATGTCTGTGGAGTTTGCTATTGCTGCTTTAGAACTGAGGTAGTTTCTGGTATCTGAAAGCAAGTTTGGTAGGTTTTCCTTAAGCTACAGCCGTTATTGAAGTGAAGGTTATCTTTGCTCTAAAACCACTGTCTCTGTTTACAATCATTAAAAACAACATCAAACTTGCATTAAGTTGAAAGTCTGTTAACTTAGACACCAGATCAGGCTGTAATCTTTAAATTCTTTTTATCATTCTAGGTATGGCCTGGCTTGACAGGAAAAGGAACAAATTCAAGTAGCCAGTATTTTTTCAGTGGAATAATTAGTAATGAAAAATGACCTTTTGTCTAAATCTCAGTATTCACAAAATAATGCACATAAAACCTTTCATTTCTGGAAAAAAAAAAATGTTCTGATTTTGTATACAGGCTATTAATGTTGATGATAACTGGGTGAACATGTATGGGACTGAAGTGGGGCCAGCATTACAGGTTACACTGGGCAGACCGAAGTGTCTGAGAGCTGTGCTTTTTACAGCTATGTGTAAGAATCATGAATCTCATCCAAGATAGTTGAAAATTACGGGACTCTGTAAAGCCCATCTGTTTTCAATCATACTTAATGGCTTGTTTTGTCAAAAGTGACTTACTGCTACTGCCTTTAAAATAACCTCTGAACACTGATTGTAAGGCAGTAGGTCTCTCACTAGAAACAGTTAGAAGAAATTGGATGAGCTAAATTCTTTCCTTCAGTTACAACAGTTCAGTTGTATTAACCCTATCTTTTCAATGAACTTACACCAAGGCATCTGTGAGAAGAATGGTTTTGTATTTAGGGATATTAGCCTAGGATTTGGCAGACCTCAAGGCAAGTCCCAGCTCTGCTATCCATTATGTGACATTAAGTTTCACAGCTCTCTTGTTTTTATTCCCTTTATATGAAATCCAAATAGCAATTTGCTGGCAGTGGGCTGTT